CGCCGCTGCTTCGGCTGGCCGGTGCAGCCCTGGCCGGGCTCCTCCCATCCTCAGTAGCTCATGGGAAGCTGGCTTCAGCAGCATGCTGCTCCGAATGGGACGGACCCAGCCGGGTCAGCACCGGCCAGGAAAAGTGGCATGCAGCTGAAGCTGGCTTCCCACATGCTGCTGGGGATGGGAGGAGCCCGACCGGGTCTGCACCGGCCAGCAGATTGGTATAACGTGACAAGCCTATGGTTGGTCAGGCTCCCTAGATCTGAGACCTGATGTAGGCTATGGCACAGAGACTCACTCTGGAACAACGTGCTAATAAACTTGTGTCTGTACCTGCCAGGAACCCAAGTAGCAGGCGGTTGATACCTGGTAAGCTCATGTGAGTAAAGACTGCTTGTTGCTTTCTGTGTGGCCTTCAAAATGTTTTTATCCTACTAAAATATGCCATACTTTGTGAGAGTCATTGCCTCTGTATGAGAAAGTAGAATCATAGCCACTGAACTAAATTCATGCCCTGTGGGAATAATCACAATTCAGCGAAATGGGCAGGAAAGAAAAGCCGGAGTTCTAAGTGTGCACCCTAAAAGAGGCCATGAAAGAGTCAGAAGCACAACCTTAGAACCAGGACAGCTATCCGGTGATGGCAGTCCAGTAGGCATGATGGGAATGCTCTACTCTCATGAGATTTAGGAAAGCAAGAGGACATAAGAGCAACATGTAGGCAGAGAGAGTGTAGGGCCTTGGAGCCATGTTAATAAGTGAGGACAACTGTGTTCCCACTAATTGTGGGTACAGCTTCACTAGCTTCAAGCAACTCAAACCTGCTGCCAAAAAATAAGCCCTTCCTACCCACTTATACTTTCCCTGCTCTGAACTGGAAATGAGGCAGTGAGAGCCCTTCTAGGGTGGTCCAAGGACAGTAGAAGCAGATCACACACAGAGAGTGAGAGATGTTCCCAGAATGTCCTCACCACCACATTTCTTCTGAAAAGCAGGGATATCCTGAGGTTCATTTAATGTTTGTAAAATGCTTGGAGAGTCCCACATACATGCACTGCATAGAAATGCAAAATATTTGGTTGGCACCTTGGGCTGAGATTTTCAAAGCTGAATCAAAAGGCCAACTTCCATTAAAATAAGTGGGATTTAGAGGGCTCCAAATCTTTTATGACAACTTTGTAACATGCCTATCTACCCCTTTTTTTTTTTTTAAATCTCAGCCATAGTTTGAAACCTCAGCCAAAGAACATAAGAGCATAAAAAGTGCCATGCTTGGTCAGCCCAATGGTCCATCTAGCTCAGTATCCTGTCCCAAACTGTGGCAGAGGTGGATGCTATAGAGGGAGAGTTTTGAACTGGTTAGACCCATTTCATTGTTACTTCTTGCAACTTCATTGGTGTCAAAAGTCACATGACATCACTTCCTGATGTGATACCACTTTCTGTGAGATCTTTGAATATGGCTCACCGGCCCACTGAGTGATAAAAAGTTCTTGATCCGGCCCCACATTCAACAAGCTGGACACCCCTGCTCTAAAAGGTCCTCTGTGAAATTTTATTCTATCATTGAAATACCTCAGCGACCAATTTTTGTAGCACTTTGTAGTATTTGTACATCCTTATTTTACCCTAATTCAGCAAATAGTTAGAAACATGCTTTATATTATTGTTGTGCGTAATGGGATTACTCCTGCTAGGAAAGTGCATACACATAAGAGTTTTCTGGATCAGGGTCTCTTGTTATGGTAGGAACATACCTTAGAATTATTTTTTTCTTTGCCCCAATATACAACACTGTTGTGTTTTTGTTTTGTTTTTTTATTTCTTTGGGTGGGGGGACGTGAGATGGACAGACAGACTGGTTTACATAAGACTACTATCAACTCTCCTACTAAGAGAGGTTCTTAGAAAGTGTATTGTACAACATGACTAAAAATAACATTTGGGAGTTCCACTTTTCTCTTCCCTTTGACATTTGAATGTGATAAATTTGCAATTCTTTGTGTTATCAATGATTGAACAATGATTTGAAGTGCCACTTCCCTGCTCCCAAATCCTCCCCGTGAATAATGGCTGGACAGATCCTGAACTGGTCCAAAGCCCACTGAAGCCCATGGAATGCATGCATTCTTTTTTATGTCAGTGGGGGCCCTGCTACATGTACAGGTAAAGATGCAATGGGATCTAATGTGCTGTTCACAAAATTGTACCTCCTGCCATGCCACACATGTATAGCAGGAGGCATGATTGTGGGATCATGCATTAGATCCCATTGTGCTTTATTGTGGACAGTTTTGCCTTATTGCCCAGGCTCCCCCTGCACCAACAAGAAGCAAGCTCCCATGGCTGGGAGGGGCTCCCAGCCACAGGGGCATCCCATACATCTCTGCAGCTGGGAGATGCAGCTGTTGCAATCCCCCCATTCCCAGAGGGCTCCATGCACTCTTGTGGCTAGGAGACACAGCTGCTGCAATCCCCTACCCAGGGGGACAGAACACACCCTTGGGACTTGGGAGATCGCAGCTGTGGTTGCTGGGACCCAGTGTCCTGCAGCTGTGGTTGCTGGGTCCTGGCAGCCATGGGGTGCTGCTGGGATCCAGCATCTGAAGCTACTGGACACTGGGTCCTTGCAGCTATGGGGCGCTATCAGGACCCAGCATCCACAGCTGCCCAGTGCTGTGAGTCCCCTTAACTGCAAGACTCCCAGCCCCAGCTGTGCAACCTGTGGCTGGGAGCCTGGTCAGCTGATGAGGTTCCCAGCTGCAGGGGCAGGCCCTGCTACAGGTGCAAATTAAAGCTGTATAGCAATGAGCTATAAAGTTAGTACACATTTTTGAGATCTAACTTTATAGCTGGTTGGATTTTTTATGGCATGATAGGTTTTTGCATATATAACTGGTCTCAAATTGCATAATTAACCAGTTAATTGTACAATATTTGTAACATGTAAAAGAGTCCTGAGAATTCAAGCTTATCCTAGATGCTAATATATTCAGCCTGGGCAATCCCATTGCCTTCAATTAATTTAAAAAGCGAAGGGATTGGAAGTTGCTAACCAGTTGTTTTGGTGAACTGAGGGTGAGAATCGTGCCCTCAGATGTTGTCATTTTTGAAAGATAAATGCCCAAGAAATGGTAAATACAATTCTAAACATTTGGTTAGTAGCTGTGTTGATTGAGATGCTATTTTTATTGTTCACAATGTTATTAACTTTAAAGCATTTCACTTGAGATCAAATCTAAGACATGGAAAGTGTACTCCTAAATGGAATGGAAGTTGTACTGCTGTTCCAGAGCAATAATGTACAATGGCTGATTAGTTTGCATAGTCATTGGATCGCCAGGATTTTCTCTTAACTTTTTGAAAAGCTTTGATAACTAGAACGTGACAAGCATTACATCAAGCCTAACATTTAGTTTATAAACCACAGAAGAGGTGGCAAAGAAGACCTTAGGGATCTGGCCCTGATAACTTCAGATGGATTCAGTAAAAAAGAATTTACTGGATCTTCAGTTATTTTTGCCATAGTACTAAAGCAGTAGGCATGTAAGAACAGTATGTATAAAGGACTTATGGTATAATTTAATTGGTAAATATTAATACATGATTTTTTTTCTTTTATTAGGTGTGAAGTTTTTCTCTTACAGTACCAGTATGCTTAACCTTTGCATGATGCCCTACATCTTCAGAAATGGCATTGGAGTTGAAAGTTTGTCTTTACAAATTGCCTTTTATGGACTTATTGGATTCTTTACATTTATAATGCCAGTTTCCTTGCATCTGCTTACAAAGGGCTATGTGGCTCGACTGTATTATAAGGCTGAGACAGACACATACACAGCCATTACATATAATTTTATTTTAGCAGAAAAAAAAACTGTGTTCCAGCAGAAGGATGTAAAGATACCTGGTATTAGCAAGATGTTTACAACATTTTATGTAAAAACTAAATCAATGCTTGTTAATCCAGAGCTTTTCCCATATTTACAGGATTACAACCATCTCATGGGCTATGATAAGCCTTTTCATTTTGATTTGGAGAAGTAACAAGCATCTAGTGAAAGCAAGAAATTGTGACGATTATGAATGTTATTTGTTGTCCAGTGCTTCAGACATAAAGTAATGCAAAATTCTGTAGTTTTCATAAGTGAAAGATAATTCAGTTCTTTTAATATATTTGAGACTAGAAAAAAGTTAGGTTTTATATAATTGTAAGCAGTATAATAGTGTTTCCTGAGTTAATGCACCAAATGCAGTTAAAATGTAAATAAATGTTTACCCATCTGACATGGCTAATTGTTCACTGCTTGATTTCTGTTATTTAAATCGTGGAGAGGAAAAATGCATTTGATGTTCATTTTCTTCTGCAAGCTCACCAACACATTATTTTAAAGGATGCATTCCTAGAAAACCATCCACGTTCACTGAGCATCAAGTTCATGAGTAAGAAAATTTTGAAGCATAAAAAGGGTTTTGTTATTATAAATTAAAGGTCTGTTTTTGCTGTCTTTGTGTCTGTATGCTCAGATGGTATAAGGAGATGGTATAAAAGGGAGTGGACGCTGTCCAGAATTTCTAATGTGGGGATATCCATAGCATGGAGGAGTTCCCAGGAGGCAGAGACATACTTGTTCTTTTCTGTAATTTCTGTCTGTGGAAGAAACAGGAGAATTACCTGAAGCATGATAAACTGACCATCCACAGCTGGTAGATGGTCCCTTAGGAATGAATGCCAGTTTTGCTTCATCTAACTTATAATTCCAAGATACTTTCTTCAATCTAATATCCAGGTATGAAAAAGAGAAGTAGTGCCCCAGGATCACCCTGTTCTGTGGGCAAAGCTCAGCAGTGAATATGGTCCCGCTCTTAGGTATTCCTTAGACGTGGTTTACAAAATGCATTAGAAGCCAATATCAAACAGAACCTTTTTCAGTGCTAATGAGAGCAATACAATATAACAATTTATAGATTATATTAAAAGAAATTAATTAAAAGGCAAGTGTCTTCAATCATCTAACAGTTGCTCTGTAAACTACTATCTGAAGTGTTTGTGCTGAGTGAGACTAAATTTAATATAGAACTAAGGGAAATCTTTAGACTCTTAGGGTACTTCGTTTCATAGTGTTTAGGGTCAGAAGGGACCTAAATAGATCATCAGGTCCAACCCTTTGCCCCAGGCAGGAATGAGTGCTGGGGTCATAACACCCCAGCCAAATATCCATCCAGCCTCCTCTTCCAAGACCCTCAAAGTAGGAGAGAGTACCACCTCCCTTGGGAGTCCATTCCAGAGCCTGGCAGCCCTAACCATAAAGTAATGCCTCCTGCTGCCCAGCCTGTACCTTCTCTCTAACAATTTGTGGCCATTATTCCTAGTAACCCCTGGTAGTGCCCAGGGGAACAGCCTCACCCAATTTCTGCTAGTCTCCCCGGTGAGTTTGTAAACGGCTACCAGGTCCCCTCTTAGCCTTCTCTTGTAGTGGCTGAATAGGTTCATGCCCTTTAGCCTCTTTTTGTAGGGCCTGACCTGCCCCTTGACCATGAGAGTGGCCCTCCTCTGGACCCTCTGAATGCTAGCCACATCCCTCTTGAAGTGCGGCACCCAGAACTGAATGCAGTACTCCAACTGCGGCCTGACCAATGCTGCATAAAGGGGAAGGATCACCTCCTTGGACTTGCTTGTGATGCATCTGGAGATGCACAAAAAGGTGCGGTTAGCCTTACTGACTGCTTCCTCACATTGGTGGCTCATGTTCATCCTGGAGTCAAAAATGACTCCAAGATCCCTTTCTGCCACCGTGTTGACAAGAAGGGTGTTCCCCAGCCTTGCTGGTTCCTTCTGCCTAGATGCAGCCCCCTGCACTTGTCTGCATTGAATTCCATCCTATTCTCACCCGCCCACCTCTGTAACCTGTCTAGATCTAGCTGGATTCTGTCCCTCCACTCCAGCGTGCCCACCTCGCTCCACATTTTGGTAGCATCAGTGAATTTGGACAGCATGCTTTCCACACCCACATCCAGATTGCTGATAAAGATGTTGAACAGTACAGGCTGCAGGACCGAGCCCTGGGGAACTCCACTGCCCACGTCCCTCCAGGTTGAAAACGACCCACCCACCACCACTCTCTGGGTGTAACCATCTAGCTAATTTACAGCTGTAAAGCACTTTCTGCACACTTTAAGTGTAACATCTGTACCTAACCTGTATGTTCTGTATTTGATTGTGGCCCTCTTTCTTGAATAGACTTATTCTACACAATTAGTTTTTCCTATTGCAACTGTTCTTGGTCAAGAACTTCTGAAGGGTTCGATGCACAGATGTACTGCTCACTTCTTTTTAAGTGATCACTTTTTAACATAATGGAGTAAAAAGTAGTTGTTCTAACTGGTATTTATTTTAGGCTGTATCTGCTTCTTTCTTAGACCTCAGAAAGGGCATGCTGTGCCTGAAAGCTTATCTTAACATCTCTTCCAACTGTAAAGATCTTACCAAACAAATCATGCTTCTGGAAAATGAAATGCATGAAACCAGTAAATATGCAAAGCTGAGGAAAAGCCATGAAATTCTTCCTCACTTGTGTTATGAAACTGTGATTAAGATGGAATGGGAATTCTCTACTGTGCAAATTCAAAAATTCAACTTGTATCTTAAGACCTGAAGGTCTTCATTCTGGATAAAGTTGAGCCTGTTGCAGTCTGCTTAGTATAGGGCACACTTGTATCTGCTGAGCCAGAATCCTTGCTGAACCTGTAGATAGGAGTAAGATTGTCACTCAACATAAATTTGGATGCAGCAGCCTTAGTTCTGGATTTTGAGTGCAGTTTCTTAGGGTATAAACAGAGACCACCTTTTGTTGCCTTTATAGAATAACAGAATCATAGAATCATGGAAAATTAGTGTTGGAAGAGACCTCAGGAGGTCACCTAGTCCAACCCCCTGCTCAAATTAGGACCATCCCCTACTATACCATCCCAGTCAAGGCTTTGTCTACCCAGGTCTTAAGAGGCATTAGAATGTGAAGGATTCAGTATTTCATTTCTGACAAGATAGCTGACTCTTTAAAGCATCCATAATGTGTAGGAAAAAGTATCTGCACAATCTTCAATCTTAGTGAAATGTAGCCACTTCTAAAAATCCTTGAATCTCCAGAAACTATTGATGACAGCTTCCCAACTCAGAGTATTACATTTGATATGGAAGAATTCACTACAGAAATCACTGAAGTTGATAGATAAAGAGGAATTAATCACAGAGTTAAAAATGAGTTGGTTTATTAAGTGCAGTTGTCCATGACTTGATGACATTTAGCAAACAGATAAAAAAAAATGAATCACATCCAAACTGCTAATATATCTCTAGCTGATGCTTTAGAAGGAGCAATTTCACAAGGCTCCTTGTGAAAAACAACTCAAGCAAAATCAGGTGGTAGAGATTTAAAAAAAAAATAGGGTAATTAGTTGCTGTTTATTTGTTATTTGGGTTACCATAATGTCTAAGGCAGGCATGTCAAACATACAGCCCACATGCCAGAGCTGGCCCACACAGCCTTGTGTTCTGGAGTGACCCATAGGAAGCATGCGGGGTGCACTGGATGGCCCCATGGGCACCTGTTCCAGCTCTCATCCCAGATGTGATTGCTTTGTATATGCTGCTCTGGTTCTGTGCTGCATGTGATGGCAACTCAGGGTCATACTGCACAACCTGGTGGCAGTGACTCTGGAGCCATGCTGCACAGCTCTGTGGCAGCAGCTCTGGATCTGGAATGCAGGGCGGGTCTAGTGCGGCCTGAGAACTAGTCCCCTGCCACTCATCCAGCCCCTGGGAATGGATGAGTTTGACATACCTGGTTGGTCTGAGGGCCTAAGTAAGGGACTAAGGCACACTGGGCTTTAACTAAAAACAAAAAGAGGTTGCAATGTAAATTACAAGACAAAATCAACATGTTATCACTCTCCCAGCTAGACAATAAAAAATCACCAAGATAAGAGACAACAGCTAGATATACACAGGAAGGTACAGGCCGTGCCGCAGCAACAAAGTTTGCTGCCTGGGACCAAGCCCACAGTGGCAGCCCATCTTTGCCCCACTCACAGATCTCAGGGGCACATGCCCCTACCCCATGCTTGCCTGGGAGTGCGCACAGTGGTGGGAGCTGCCGTACCCCTGTCCCCATGCCCCCTGAAACAAGCCGCTCTGGTAAGCATGATAGGCAATGGTATCAGTGCACCAGTAGCCTAATTTTAGGCATCATGACAAAGGGGAATTTTAAGGAAAAAATTGAAGGAGCTAGTGCAGAGGCTGATAAAAAAGCTCTCCCCAAGAGGGCAGTGTGGGGAAAAAGCAAGAAGGTGCTTATTTGAAATTGTGATGCTGATTTTTATTTACTAATCAAAGATGCAAGTTAACCTTTTGATAACAAAATAAGGTAGGTAGGTCATAAAGAGCCTTGTATGTGAAGACAAGTAGTTTAGGTCTGCAGTAAAGAGGAGGGATTCACTGGAAGGATCCAAAGAAAGTGGTGGCATATGCAGGAGCAGTCTAAATGACTATGGGTGGGACAAGAGAAAAAGGTGCTCTAGTAACTGAGGTGGAGATAATGGAAAAGTTTCAATTGCACAGAAACTGCAGGTGCAGGATGCAGCGGCAGTAGCAGCTGAGGTCTTTACCTTCCCAGGACCTCTGGCTTCAGGAGGGCCTGAGACCTGGGGGCCTCCATTTGAAAAATCTACTCCCTGCAGTTGTTCAGTATCTCTGAAAATTAGGTGATTAATTAGCGGATCTAATTTCAGTTTGGAAAATACTCATGCTATCATTTATCATTGTGATAGACTTTAAAACATCACAGAGATTATAGGCATATTATTGGCTCCCTTTCAGCAAAAGATCAGTAGAATGTAATTTAGCATCAAAGAAAAGTTAAAGAACCTTGTCTTTTGTGTCTTGGTAGCCATCTATCTTTTGAAGGCAAGAGAAAAGGATTGAGTGTAACCTCTCCTTGGTGATCTAGGCTTTAGCTAATTGGCTTTATTAAGGCTCATCCACATCCTATTCTAAATTTAATTTGTATGCACCAGCAATGTGTTTAACAATATAGAAGACATGAAATGAGTAGTTTCTCTTCCACAGAACGTACAATATCCTAGAAAGAAAGAAGGCATAACATAGTGAGAAACCTATAAAAGGTTTAAAAGTGAGAGTATATTTTTGTTTTGGGTTTAAATATATTTTCAGTTAACTACTTGTGACTATTTCCTCAGGAAACCCTTGTTTCTTGGTGGAAGGGGTCTTTTCTGTAAAAATCTCAGTCACAATTATAGACATTGGATTTTTGATACATTATAATCTGCCTGGCAACTGACTCCCCAGCCCAGCCCCTGGCTTCTTTACTTTTCATTCCATCCAGGAAGAGCACACACCAACTGCTGAAACTTCCTTAGCCTGATGAAGGGTTTTTGAACTCAAAAGCTTGCTTAATAACTATTCTCCAACCATTTGGGTTGGTCTAATAAAAGATATCAAATTCACCCAAAGAACCTTGTCTGCCTATGTCCTTAGACCAACACGGCTAGAACCTACACCCCTGCAGTCACAATTATGCACTTTCTCCTATTGACTAAATCTAACCTGATGTCCCTCTTGACCACTCCATTGCCCATTTATTTGATTCTTGGGCCTCATTCTCTTTTGCAAGTGGATCAATTCAAACTTGATGTAGTCCAATAATCCAGATGAATAAATAACAATAATGAGAAATAAGAGGAATGAAATCAAAAGAGAATGAGAAAAAACAGAGGATGAAAGAACAACCTTATGTGGAAGGAGGTGCTGTTGAATAATACCAATTTCAAGTGTTTGTAAGGTTGTCTTGACAAGGAAACAGTCATATTAAACAGTTTTGATGAGTTAGATACCATAATGCTGACTGACTATATATAATAGGATAAGTAATGTTCTGCATCGTATCAGCTTTTTTGTTTTAAGCTTTGTCTCAGCTGGGTGTGGTATCAAAATATCTAATTAGATTCCTCCACAATTTTATTGGAGGGGTGTTAAAGTAGTTAAAGTATCTAGGAGTCCTGCACCTTTTGCTTCAGACATATGCCAAAGACCACACCTCTTCACCCTGTTTATCCAACTAGAAATGTATACCAGGTCATTTGGGCTGACATGATTCTAGTCTATCTACACCCTTGTGGGGTACTAGCTACAGCAGATGCTGTGCCTTGACCACACTAGTCCTATGGACTTCCTAGGCAAAGGCGGAAACACAATCTTTTTTTTAACAATGTTACTGAAGCATGCTCAGATTTGGGTGGCAGAAAGTTCCATGGGATCGATGTTCTGTGACAATCTTTGGTCAATAAGAAAGTGATTTTTTTAATTGATTGAGCATAAGGCTTATAATTTTTTTTATTTCACACAATATTGCTGTCTTCAGCCATGGCAATAGTGCACTAAGATGTTTCTTCTGGTAAGTCATCTAAACTTGCTTTTATTCAATTGTGTTGATCCTATGTAGGCTTTTTACTTCTCTATTTGGTGTAATTTATTTTCTCTTTCATTATTAATTTGTGGCTTAAAACACATTGTAAACCCAAACACATTGGATCACCTTGGAAAATATGACAGTAAATACAGAAATTTCCCTTCTTTCCATAACTTTATGACAATAGTAGCTGGCAAAAATCCAGTACAATATCAACTAAGTGTACAGAGACTGTGAGGAAATACAGCCTACAAATTCCCAGAAGCCATCTGACCAGCGATGACTAAGCCTAACTTTGTTCCTCTTTCTGAAAATAAGCATTCAAACAAAATATTCACCCATATCACCCAGGCCTTATCACCTCTCTTTTTGGGAAGATACATAACCATGTTTAAGCTTGTTTTCTTCATTCTGTTTATTCCTGGATTTAGTGGCTCTCAGGGAAGAGAATTGATTTGTAGATCATCAGATATAGAACTATCATACTCCATTTGCGGTAAGTAAAGCATGGCTTATTCCGTATTTGGTGGCTTTTGCACAATAATGATTATCCCCTCAGCAAACATCTGTCTTTTCTCTTTCATTTGTTTATTTGATGAATCCAGAAAAATAAAGAAGTGATTCATTATAGATTTAAGAATAATCTTGCTTGTTCCTGGTAGTTTGAATAAAATGTATTTTTGGGATTCTGTACTTACTGTAAGATAACAAGAAATACTGTGGAAGATTTTCTTGTAAAAGCTGAGGGGCAAGGAAGAGCTTAATTTCTGAGCAAGACCAGTATGCATATTATGGACTTGGGAGAACTTAAACAACAAGATTAACTTTCTTCTCTAGTGTTGTGATGAATCAAGTTATACAACAAATATTAGATTCCAAAGTTTGAGTGATATGAAAAATAGAAGCCCTTCTTGGGTGAGTCTACTAGTCCATGAAACTGTGGTACAGTTAATTTAATCTGACCTTGTTCTCTGCTGGCTTTCTTTTATTTCCCACCACATCTTTGTTTAGTTAACTGACTCCATCTAATTCGATCCATGAATTTGCACTGCGACCCACCACACTGGAGCCCTGCACTGACAGCCAATCCCACTGAAGACTAGAGCTCCATAGGGGCAAATTGGGGCCTAAAAGCCTTCATCATATCCTCAGTGCCCAGCCCCCCACACATGCCCTACCCTCCCAAATAACAAACCCCATCAAATAGATTACTTTTTCAGCATGAGCACAGTGGCATGTTCTGCAAAGATAATATCAGCAAACTAAACACCTGCATTCTCTGGTTTTAAAATAAAGTATTAGACTGAAATATTTTCCAAAGGCAAAGGTGGGTTGATGGGCCTCTTATTAAAAATATAGATAATAGCCTTTCTAAATTTGAAGAGACATCATGTATTTTGTGCTGTATTATTCTGTATTTTATTGAATCCTGTAAAAGGTACAGCACTATGCAAGTTACTCAAGGAACAAGTCAATAATCTACCAGAATTTCATTCATAATACCTAGGATGCTATATTAATAACAAGCACATTTAAAGTTGTAACTGCTAGTGTGAGAGAGAGATTGAGTGAGTTTTGGAGAGAGGGGGAGAGAGAGCTGGGGGTTGTGAGGGCAATATTCGCAACCCAGTGGAATCTCTTATTAAATATTTAATTTCAAATTGGAATGATCTTGATTTTTACATCTTAAGTAAGTATTTAGTAGTATCATTTTTCTATGTGTACTTTTGTCATTTTATTGGAGAGATCTGTTTGTTCTGACTTTATGAAATACATTTTGTCCTTTAGATTCTATGAAACACAATTTCTTCTTTAACATAACCCCTTGCTCCCTCATTGGCAAACCACATTGGGAAGGTTCTATCTATTGGATTCCAAGTGAGTCATTGTTACGTTTATCTTTTTCCTACCAAATCTGGTAGATCATATTCTGTATTTGAAGGAAGATGAACTCTAAAAGGTTGTTTCCACCTCTAGCCCATTTCCTATATGGGAAACCTATTTTGGAGAAAATTTTCTCATGATTATAATGAAAAGATAAATCATGACGATACATAAAGAATGTGATTTTGCAAATCAAGCATGCCAGTATGCATCACAATAATGTGGCTTGCTTGTGCATGCTGTTACCATGATTGTGCACTGTGATTCTGCAACTGTATGTTTAAATCAACTGTTTGACAAACTGGCCATTCACTTGGGTAATTGCCATTCTCAACTTTTGTATACAAGTTGGGCATTCCAGTTGCACATGCACAATTTAGAAAAATCGACCTCAAAGTATGTGCTGGCAGTAAATGACAAACTCATGTTAACATTAATTGTGGCGTTTAACTAGAGCCTCCGTAATATGAAGAAATATGTCACAGATATGCAACAAAGTTTAGTCTCTAGCATTACTTTCCATAACAAAAGAAGATGGAGTGCCTACCTGTAGGGAAAAAACTATGCTCTGGCAGACACTTAGAAGTGATTATGATGGAGACTTTCCATTCCTAGCTTTCTGAGATTTTTGCAATATTCCCTATGGCTCTACCTAGATTAGAAATATAGACTATGGTTAAAAGAATGTTAGCAATCACATTTAATTCTCAGATTTTAAAACACTGGAGTAGATGGGGTTTACATTACAATATCTGACTGTAGTCAACCCCAGGCTTCTTTTCGGAAAATGCTGTTAACTGACTCCAGTAGGACAGCTCAGGTCTAAACTACAAACCAGAAGTATGACTGTGGCTCACACAGTCATATCAGAATTAGCTGAATCATTGATAGCAGCAGCATAGGTTTCAACTGTCTAGTACTTGCCTAGGATCCTGGACAGATTTATTCTCTTAGCAGTACCCCCGCCAATTAGTTTCACATATGTATTACACTCAAGAGATGTGATTTCAGCATGTGTAGACATATCTTGCATCTATCTCACTCTTGATTGCAGTGCAAACTTTTTACACATTTTGGGATGGAAAAAGCCTTTACAACTGATTTAAGTGAAAGTATCAATTTTTGCTGAAAACATTTGTGCTTTTGGTTAGAGGGAGAAGGTTGCAAAAGCAAACTAATACATTTGCCAAGGAAATACTGATGAAAAAATGTTTTCATGAAAATTGTGTTTGTGTAATTTTTTACCAATTTATCCTTTTTCTGTTTTTTTTAAATTAGGGAGTGACATCATCTTTTTAAAGATAAATCTGAGTTTATGGTATCATGATGCAAAGGCATTAGAGTGGAAACAAATTATTTGCACTGGAATTGATGATGACTATTCATTTTGTGGCACTTTGAAAGGAGGTAAACAGAAATATATGGTAGTTCTCCTTTGCCATGTAGTCTGTTTATTGGGGACAAATGAAGTTAGCTATGATACATCTTAAACACTGGTCTTATTATCAGGTTTCTCAGGGCATATTTACACCTTGATTTTGGGCAACTGCTCCCAGCCACATTAAGTGCCCCTCTCTATCTACATTATTTTATGCAGCAGTAGGTGGAGAGCCCATAAGGAACAAATGGTAGATAGACTGAATCGTAGAAGAAAAACAATTGGTAGTTCAGATTGAGACCCTCTACTTGTCTATTCTTGGTTCTTTCTAATTATAGGTAGCTGAGACAGAAAGTGGGGTACAGAAGGACTGGTAGTATACTTTCTGTGCTATGCTCTGCTGCACGTAAGGGACAAAAGAGGGAAAAGCAGGTAGAGAACTGCTGCCAAGGAGTTTGTGATGTAAATAATTTATGGATTTGGGCTAAAAAGTAGTTCCAGGAGTCATCTTAAGTAGTAGTGTAGGCATTACTCTAAAAAAAGTAACTATTTGCACAAGGATATTTGTCTATGAAGTGTTCTAGATCATGATCCAAGACAATGCTAATCAGAACTAGCTTTTGCTGGGGAATCTAGAAGTGTAAACTTCTGCTCAAACTTCTATTTCCAGCATTAGAGTTATGACAGATTTCATGTCAGCTGGTTCTTGGCAGCTAAGCCATCCACTGCTGAATAGCCATAGTCACCTCTGGTCCCAAAAAGCATGCGAGGCAGCATTCTTCAGAGACTAAGCCAGGGACTGAGAATAAGCAACTAATCCAAACTCTACCACAGATTCTTTCTTTGATTTCGATCAAATCACAGAAAGGCCAAAGTTTTCAAACTTGAGTACCTCCATTTAGGGAACAAAAATCTAATTCTGCTAAGAGCCTGCACCTCTGATGCAGGTGCTCAGCAACTCTAAATATCACCTCCATTCTGTGTATATACCAAAGAATGTTCCAGTTTAAAAGTTTTAACCTTAACCCTTTAACCTTATGCTGCAATTTCTACATCAATAGAATAGGGATAAATACATTTACTTACCTCACAAAAGAAATATGACAACTGTTATTAACATTTGTAAAGTGACATGTTAATCCTAAGCTAAGGGACCCTAATAGCTCCCAAGTTCCTGTTGGCTGGGACAACTTACCCTCCTGAAATGTCTCAAAAATGTTAGCAATAGTGCACAGACCAGGCACAAAAGCAGCTTGGCACTCTCTTCTGCAGTGTAATGCTGCAGGTGGGGGAAGGTAGGAGGACAGGACTTAAAGATACCTTTCCCAACCACATGCAATTCATTATTAGAATTATTATATTAGGTATAAAATGTACTAGGACATGGTAAGATCCCAGAACCAGCCAATTTAAGATATAGGACTACAAGCAACATAAGATGGAAATAAGAGTTATAATATACAATCAGCGTTTTCCCTGTCTTTATATAAATGTCAGCTAGACTGAACTAAAGCTCAAACAAGCTGTTGTTATGGCCAATTTCTTGAAAGCATTGCAGTGTAAAGGGTCTTGAGGAGGTGAGGTAATGACCTTATGGTTCACTTTAGATTCCAAAGGGATGGTATAAATTGGTGATAAGCAGTATTTTCTGGCTGTGGGCTAGAATGACCCATCTCAGGTCACAAGCAGTTGGGTGGCCACTAGGACCCACTCACAGCTGGCAGCTGGCTCTGTGGGCTGGATCTGGCCTGTGGGCCATAGGTTGCCAATTCAAGGTATAAAGGAACATTGAGGAACAATGTGGGAGAAGGAAATAAACAAGGTTAAATGTGGTATTACTGAGGCTAGGGACAGAAGTTACACATAAACCAGTTTAAGTGATCAGAAACTGGTTTAAACCTGTAACAGAACATAAGTTCAATGCACATAAACAAATTTCAAAAAGGCTAAAACTGGTTTAAGATAAACCTGGTTGAATGTAGTATCAGATTTAACTGATTTGAGTCAAACCAGTTTATGGAACTTGTGTCCCCGACCCCTTCCTGGTTTAAGTTAAATCAGAGTCCCCTAGCATCCCAGTATGCTTTTCTGCCATGGGCTGGGCTGTCTGCTCCAGAGAGCAGGGCTGGCCCCACCCCCTCCTCCCTAGCTGGAGCTCCAGTGGGCTGAGAAGGAGGTATAGACTGTAGCTGGGAGACAGCAGCGCCTGCCTGGCTCTCCCCTGCCCCACCCTTCCCTTGCCACTTGCTGCTCAAGCAGGGATCCTTCCTCTCCCACAGTATGGGCCCCAGCCAGCATCTGGTCATAGTCACACCACCCCCATGCTAGCTAATGCTGAGAGGTGTCTATGTGTGTGTGCCTCCAATTTCACTGAAACAAAGACAGATAGAACAGTGTCTGCGTAGGGCTTTTTGGAGCTAATCAACAGGTCAGCTGGTAATGTTCCTCCGTTCTTCCTTAAAAATGCTTTGCAAAAAGCTGTTTAAGAAGAGTGTAGCAGGACACTAAGGTGCCTGCTACTGAGAGAGCGCGGAAGACTCCTCAGGTGCTGGTTCCCAAGGCAACGGGAGCCAGCAAATGACCCACACCTGCCAGCGGTCAGCTGGCTATAAGAGGCAAGACCTGGCTC